GAAATGATAATAATGATAATAATGATAATAATAATAATTATTATGATAATGATAATGATGATAATAGTAATAACAGTACTACTACTACTACTACTACTACTACTACTACTACTACTACTAATAATAATAATAATGATAAGAATAGTAATAATGATGATGACGATATAATAATAATGATCAATAATGATAATAATACAAATAAGAATGATAATAATAATGATAATAATAATAATAATAATAATAATGATAAAAATAATAATAATAATAATAAAGAAGAAAAAAATAAGAATAAAACAAATAGAATAAATAAACGGAAAAAAAATATTACGCAGAAAAGAAATAGCGTAAAAAGAGAGATAACTTTTTTGTGAAGAAAATTTAGATAAGAAGATTTTTGGTGTTCATTGCTTGAACACGCACCGCCCTTCTGTTTTGCTTGCGGAGAAGGGGAACAAGACGAGAGGAAGAAGAGAAAGGGAAGTGGAGAATAAAATAAATGGGGAATGAGAACGGGAGAGGAAGAAGAGAAAGGGAAGTGGAGAAATAAATAAATGGGGAATGAAAGAACAGAGAGAGGAAGAAGAGAAAGGGAAGTGGAAAATGAAATAAATGGGGAATGAAAGAACAGGGAGAGGAGAAGAGAAAGGGAAGTGGAGAAATAAAATAATGGGGAATGAAAGAACAGAGAGAGAAGAAGAGAAAGGAAGTGGAGAAATAAAATGAAATGGGGAATGAAAGAACAGGAGAGGAAGAAGAGAAAGGGAAGTGGAGAAATGAAATAAATGGGGAATGAAAGAACAGGGAGAGGAAGAAGAGAAAGGGAAGTGGAAAATAAAATAAATGGGGAATGAAAGAACAGGAGAGGAAGAAGAGAAAGGGAAGTGGAGAAATAAAATAAATGGGGAATGAAAGAACAGGGAGAGGAAGAAGAGAAAGGAAGTGGGAAATAAAATAAATGGGGAATGAAAATAAAATAGAATGGGGAATAAAAAGAAGGTAGAAGTTAAGGAAGGCGGAGAAGAAGAGAAGAAGAAAGAGAAGGTGATAAATGAAAGTGAAGAAAGGGAAAAGAGGAAGGAGAAGAAGTAAGAAAAAAGGAAAATGAAGTGAAGAAAAGAAAAAGTAGATGGTGATGATGAGATATGAAAGAAAAATAGAAGGAAAAAATACAAAAAAGTGGGGACGATGATGAAGAAGAAGAAGAAAGAAGAAAAAATACAGGCTATCTTGTAGCTAGTTTCATACATTAGGAAGAGGGGGGAGGGGGAGGGGAGGATGGAAGAGAGGAGAGAGGATGAATGAGGATAGGAGGAGGGAGGGGAGAGGAGAAAGGGGAGAGGGAAAGGGAAGGTGGAGGGAAAGGGTGGTGGGATTATAGGAGGAAGAAAGGGGGGGAGGAAGGAGGAGGGGAAAAGGAGAAGGAAGGTGGGGATAGGGGGAGGAGAAAATGGAGGAGAAGGAGAAGGGAAAGGAAGAGAGGGGGAAGGGAGAAAAAGAGAGGCGAAAGAAGAAGAATGGAGAAGAGGAGAAGAAAGGAAGAAAGGAGGGGAGAGTGGGAGTAAAAAAAAAGAAGGAAAATGGAGAAAGGAAGGAGGAAGTGGACAAGAAAAAGAAGAAGAAGAGAAAAAGAAAGGAAGAAAAGGAAGGAAAAGGAACTGCGGGAGAAATAGAGGAAGAGAGAGTGAAAGGAATAGAGAGGGAGAGAAAGGAAAGAAAGGGGGGGGGGGAGGGGGGAGAGAGAGAGTGAAGGCGGAGAGGGAAGGGAAAGAGAGAAAGGGGGGGGCCGAGAGAGATGGAGGCGGAGAGAGATCGGGAAAGAGAGAAAGGTGGGGGAGGGAAGGGGGGAGGGCGAGAGAGAGGTGAAGGCGGAGACGGAAAAGAGAAGGGGGGGGGGAGAGAGAGGGGAGGCGGAGAGAGAAGGAAAGAGAGAAATGGGGGGGGGGCGAGAGAGAGGTGGAGGCGGAGAGAGACGGGAAAAGAGAAGTGTGGGGAAAGGGGGAGGGCGAGAGAGAGGAAGGCGGAGAGAGAAGGAAAGAGAGAGAAGGGGGGGGGTGAGGTGGGGGAGGGGCAGAGGAGAGACGAGCACTCACCCCTCCTGCAAGCATGTCATAATTACCCTCTAATTGCCCAAGCTGCATAGCGAGCAAGAGCATTAACGGGAAGACCGCCCTCGCTCTCACCCCATTAGTGCAGGAGGGTTGGAAAGGCGCTTGCAATGGCGAGAGATATCGCCTCTACTTGCACGGTCGGTTCTTTCTTGCCTCTCGCTTTTCTATCTCTCATTATTACTCTTATCTCTGTCTTTTCAGTTAATTTGTTTCTTTGTTTGTATGTTTGTGTATATATATATATATATATTATATAAATATATATATATATATATATATATTATATATATATATTATAATATAATTATATATATATATAATATATTATATGTATATATATATATATATATATAATATATATATATTATATATATATATATATATATATATATATATAATATATATATATTATATATATATTATATATATACATACATGTATATATATATATATATATATATATATTATATATATATATATATATATATATATATATATATATATATATATATATATATATATATTATATATATATATATATATATATATAATATATATATATATATGTATATATATATATATATATATAATATATATATATATATAATATATTATATATATATATATATATATATATATGTAGAGAGAAGAGAGAGAGAGAGAGAGATAGAAGAGAGAAGGAGAGAGAGAGAGAGAGAGAGAGAGAGAGAGAGAGAGAGAGAGAGAGAGAGAGAGAGAGAGAGAGAGAGAGAGAGAGAGAGAAGAGAGATTGTGCGTGCGTGTGTGTGTGTGTGTGATGTGTGTGTGTGTATGTGTGTGTGTGTGTTGTGTGTGTGTGTGTGTGTGTGTGTGTGTGTGTGTGTGTGTAGTGTCTAAGTACACATACACACATACACACATACATAGATAGATAGATAGATAGATAGACATATAGATAGATAGATAGACATTAAGAATACGTACGTATATAAATATATACTATATATATATATATATATATATATATGTATATATATATATATATATATATATATGTGTATCTTATACTACATATATATAATATATATTATAT